TAACAGGTGTATATGCTACATAGGAGGGGATCCAACCCAAATATACATTTCTTATGCCAATATACAGTAATAACTATATTACTACATATATAACCAGGGGATGCAGCGGATCTCGGAGCTTTGTATGCACTGAGACTCGTGGCATCAATTTCTTGTTTGTACTTTGTACAAGATACCATTTTGTATGCTGATCTCATCTCTGAATTGCAGGTGCTTCATCCTTTTCATCTGGCCACCCCATCAGAACTATAGACTTCAGTGCTTGCAAAGTTGCATCACTTTCTCTGATGCAACTTTGCTAGCACTGAAGTCTATCTGACACCATGTTTTAGGAGATATAAATAAAGACACTGCCAGGTATTAGTGTATAGCAGCCATGTTTCAGGAGATACAGGAAGGAAGTACACACCCCAACAGGAACATGTACAATAGAGAATAAACCATAGAGTTAGTTGCATGTAAACCAAACATAACATCCATAATAGTACTTTTATTTTTTAAATTCAAGTTTGCACTGGTTGGGCTTTTTTTTCTTCCAATAGTTTTGGCTGAATTACATATGCTGTGCCATTGGCTATGGGCTCTTCATGTGAGATCTGTCCAGGAGATAAAACAAATCAGATTTTGACAGCCTGTCACAATATAGCTCAGTAGCAGAGAGGGGGATATGCCCTCTCAGACTGCAATCTTATTGTGTAGATGACTTAGAGAGAGCCTGTGTATTGTATACATTGAATATCATGCAGATGATATCAGCACTGGATCAGTGAGAGAGATGCCCCACAAATAAGCAACTCTTTGCTGACAAGGAACTTGGGACATTAACAAAGACACTCGACACAGAAGATCCTCCTTCTCTCCACTGACGCAGAGCAAGCTTTTGACTGTGTGGATTGGACCACACCTGATGGCTTGGATATCCTCGTTGTATATGATTCCGAGTGATAGGATATGAATAAATGGTGCTCTCTCAGCACATGTTCAAATACGCAACGGGACACAACAGGGATGCCCGCTCTCCCCCCTCCTATTTGCCCTTTCCCTGGAACCATTCCTGGGGGCACTCACATAGGACTGGTGAATAGAGGGATTTACCTTGAAAGGATCGACACATAAGGTTGCTGCCTACGCGGACGATATGCTATTTTTCATCAACAACCCCTGGATCTCCCTCCCGAATCTGCTGAGGGCTTTTACGGAATACGGTCAGATCTTAAACATGAAGCTGAACACGGAAAAATCGTAAGTCTTGCCCATCTCGATTGAGGAAGCGACTCAAACTGATTTCGCGTTCACTTGGTGCCATGCCAAACTTAAATATCTCAGTATTTGGCTCACCGCAGACCCTTCCCAGCTATATGCCCACAACTTCACACCACTATTTCTCACACTGAAAACTGACATGTCTCACTGGTCCAGTCTCTGTGTCTCGTGGTTCGGTAGAATGAATGCCATCAAGAAGAACCTCCTCCCTCGCCGTCTATACATTTTCCAAAGCATCCCGATATGCTTACCTACGACCTTTCTCCAATCCATGGATACAGCCATCTTCTGGTTTATTTGGCAATCCAGGGCACCCAGACTGAGGAGAGCTTAACCTCGCCTATTGAAGGCACAGGGGGGAGTGGGACTTCTCTCCATACAAAACTACCATAAAGCAACACACCTACTCCGTGTGGTGGAATGGCATGTACCTAAGACTACCAAGATTTGGATACACATGGAAAGGACTCAGATGGAAGGGATGCTTCTGGCCGCAGTGTGGCTGAATGGCCTCCTGAGAAACTTGCGGACTCACAACCACCCATTCACAGGGCTGACCTTGAGGGAATGGTGCTCGATTTGGACCAGACTTATATATAACCCTGAGGTGGCAGGGGGCCTTACACAGTGGCATACCTACCACACTTGCAAAGTTCGCTGCTGCGACTGGGCCCTTCTGCAGGGGGCCCGGACGCAGCCACCACCCTTGCAACCATGGGCTGCCTAAATGCCGCCCCCTCCATGTTCCTAGTGTTGTAGGGGAGTTTAAGATATGTCCCACTGGCCACCTAACTGACCCCCCCGAGTGGCAGAGTTCCTGTCAGACGAAGCGAGGGAGCTGTATTCTCTCTTGACATCATATTCCGGTTCATCAGTAGACAGCCCACAAGGGAGCAGAACAGAGAGATCACAGCTCCCTCACCGCATCTGACAGGAACTCTGCCACCCACCGCACTGAAGCCCCATTGGACCCCAGGGACAGATCCAGCTCTCCAGCTGGGAGGCTGGGTGGACATTTAATATTAATAATTTGTGTGTGTAAGTGTATGTGTGTGTCTGAATGTGTATGTTTCTGTAAATGTATGTGTGTCTGAGTGTATGTGTGTATAAGTGTATGTGTGTCTGAGTGTATGTGTGTGTCTCTAAGTGTATGTGAGTGTGTGTGTCTGTAAGTGTATGTGTGACTCAGTGTGTGCATATGTGTGTCTGAGTGTATGCGTGTGTGTCTGTGAGTGTGTGTGTCTGTAAGTGTATGTGTCTGTAAGTGTATGTGTGTCTGAGTGTGTGTTTGTGAGTGTGTGTGTGTCTGTGAGTGTACATGTGTATATGAGTGTATGTGTGTGTGTGTCTCTACATGTGTCTGAATGTATGTCTGTATGTATGGGTCTCTGTGTGTATATGTGTTTGTGTCTGTCTGTATGTATGTGTCTGCATGTGTATCTGTTTGTTAGCATGTGTGGGGGAGCAGGGATGTGTGGGGTAGGAGGTAGATGTATGGGCAATTTTCGCACTTGGGCCCCCTGGTTTCTAGTTACGCCTCGGGCCATACACCTAAGGACATCAGAGCATTCGGTGAATCGGACTGGACATACACATGCCAATGGTGCACATCGGACGCACGAAAGCATCTACAGGAGCTAATGCCGAACAGGACTCCGACGGGGTTGGACAGATTTCGCTACTTCCAAGTTAGTACATACTACACGTCCCAGTATGGACGACACCTATTCCACAGGACTCTGACAGAGTTTTAATAACTGTGCAGGGCCCAAGTGCACCTATACAATGGCATCTCGGTTCTTTACACACTGTTCCAGTCTTCGACCTAACCCGAGTCCGCAAACATATAGTGCGCTGGGAAAGGGCCACCGGTGTCACGTTCTCAGATCCTCAGTGGATGAAAATCCACATTTTTGACCCACCAGAGCTCTATGTGCTCCAAACAACAGGAACACAATTACAAATTATTGACTGGATGGTACAGAACACCCGAGAGGATACATAGGATGCTTCCTGAGGCCCCTGAGACCTGCTGCAGAAGATGTGGGCACAGATCTCCACATTTGGTGGTCCTGCAGAAAAATAACCCCATACTGGACGGACGTCCACACAAAGATCAAATACATACTGGATACAGATCTTCCGTTCCAACCACTCCAGATGCACCTTCATCACACCGCCATGCCTCTCTCGAGGTACAGCAAATCGATAACCAAACACCTTCTAAATGCAGCCAAACTGCTAATCCCAGCTAGATGGCGTTCCACACAGGTGCCCACCCTCCAACAATGGATGGACAAGGTTGAAGAGATTCATGGTATTGAAACGCTCACAGCATCACTGAAGGGAACCACAGAACGCTGCTTGCAATGGTGGACCCCGTGGATTGACTTCATAGCTTGACGGCCGATCTAGAAATACAAACCCATGCCTTCACCTTGGGGATGGAAGAGAGACAGACGGGATGGGAGGATATCACCTCCAGGCCCTATGGACAAGATGCATGGGTGGATGTTCTCAAGTCTCAACGACCTGGGGAGGTGTGGGGAGACGCAGCTTCCGCCTGTGGCGGGACATCAAAATGGCCGACACCCTCCCCCCACTCCTTTACCCATCACTCCCACTCTTCCCCCCTTTTTTTTCTCGTCTTCTTATTCTCTCTCTCTCCCCCCCTTTACCCATCCCCTGTTCTACATACACTCCAGCATACAATCTGTATACCCATGTTGCAAACAGGGCTCCTGGAGCCTCTACTGAACCTAAAGTAGCCTCCTGGACCAACCTGTCAATCGACTCAGGAGGACAAGAGGCATAACTGGCCTGCCACCGTATAGCTAACTGACACGACCGACTCAACCCACATAGGGTTTGCTGCCAACTTGGGAAAATACAACAAAGTCTCCAAGGAAGCTATGGGTTGAGACTAATGATCCGACAGCAATTAAAATAAGTCAACAATCAGTGCATGACTCACGGGAACGGTCGACACCTATGAACTATGTTACCAGGACATGGGAAACAGTTTACTATGCTTACATATAGAACGACGAACCCTGACGAGGACATATTAATAACTAGTCAACCTATATATAATCACGCGATGTCAGGATCTCAACCTTTTAGACAGTAAGATTAACAATGGACGTAGCATAATTTTGAAGAGTTTAACCTGCAAGATTTATTGTGGTAGCGCCACTCAAGAGGTGGACAAATATCCACCCTGTTGTTTAACCCAAACCGAATATGATAGGTGCAAAATTAAGCATAGCCACTACATGTCATGTGTTTCAAACTCTAAACTGCACAAATAGTTTTAACACAATTTTCTCAGTCATGTGAATAACCTGGCTTCTCCTTTTATGTCTTAACTGCAAAAGTCAAAATAAAGATTGTCAAAATTTTAAAAAAAGGAACAATAACTTCTTTGAAATAAAATGATATCTAACGGTAGATGAAATATGAGTCTTTCGCCATTACAAAAGTTGACATCTATGATATCTGATACTGAGTGATTACACATTATTAACTAAACTTTACCCATAGACGTTAAAGGTCACTGAATAAAAGAGTGAACTCTAAATACAAAGTATAACAATTATGCAGTTGCCTAACCTTTGGGGGGGAAAAAAGGTAGAATGTCTATGAAATTCATTGATTAATACGATTAAACTTTGAATGGTGACCTTTGGAACAAAACTTGGGCAGTTAATACTTATAATAAAGCTGGGGGATTTGTTGTATATCCTATCCTGTTGCTTTGTATGGAAAAGCAATATATAGTCAAGCTAGCTAAACTGGTTTCCAAACGTTGTCTCTACTGCTAAAGCACGATGACCATGCTACAAATCGTTACTTTCTTCACGGTTCTGGTCCTGACTGGGATGCAGCAAGGTTTGTCTTTTTTTATTTTTTTTTTCTGCAATGTAGATAAAATATGTTGATTTTGTTTTAAAAATGTTGGGATAAAAATATTAACTTTAGAATTCTGCATGTATTCTATAATATTATACTCTAATATTATATTATAATGTCAATACTTTGAAAAGGCTAGACCTTGAACATTCTTTGGATTGTAACTCCTGTTATTTACAGACAGGGAAAGGTTCCTGATAACTCCAAATCCCCTTAAATCACAGCCACCTAACAACTAACCTTAAAGTGAACCTGTCATGACAGATGTAATTTGACGTTTTCTAACCATCTGGCCTAACTCATGTTAGGAAATTAAGTGTTTTTTCCCTTAACACTATTAAAAACTCATGTTTTGAACACTATTAAAAACTCATGTTTTGAACACTATTAAAAACTCATGTTTTGATTTTTTGTTTTTACATTACTCCTGTCTTTTGCTAATAGCATAAATTATTGTTTTCAGTGGGTGTTAAACTTGCTGTAAGATACACTTCACCTGCATACTGCTGTTTGGGAAGTATAGACTTGCTTCTCACAACAGGTTAAATGTTCCCAACACTTTATGTTGGTTTTTTTGTAAATAAATGTCCTCTCACGATTCTCAGATTGCCTGTCCAAAACTGATGTCATAAAGCATTCCACCTTTTTCCCTCCCTTCTCTATGCTGCTGCTGCTCTCACACAGAGCCTGGACCCTCCTACCTACTTCCCCTTGCAGGCATTGCTTTTTCTTAGGTTAAATTTAAGCTGGAGAGATATTCAGAGAAAGGGTTTATCAGCTTTCTTATATCTGTGCCAATTGGCACAAACTGAACTGACTTAAAATAGGGGGTAATTGTTGATTTTACATAAATCTAGGCATTTGCTAGCAATTCTGCTAGATGAAATTTTATTCTTTATCATTTAAGATTCATTTGTATTTTTCATGAAAGGTGAGCCCTTTGAGCCCCAAACTCTAAACCTGACTATTCTTGACTGTAAATACTTATAACACTAAGCACTAATAACTCTCAACCCACATATCCTTTGCCACAACCATTACTGTGTTAAATGGTGCTGATGTAAAGCACTCTTAACTGTTTGCGTGCCAGTGCAATTTTTAATCATGTGTACTGAAGCTCACCCAATTTCGCACATTTAGCTATCTCTTATACTAAGGTACATACTTAAAAACTGTGTACAGTTCACATTGAGAAAGATAGATAGATTGTTTTCAGGGGACATATTGGGCTTTCATGTGATGCCCCCTCCCGGACATACTTCTCATCTTATAGTGTAAAAAAATAAAAATATGGGAAAAAGGTTTTCTGTTAGAATTAACTTTCTAGTGGGTATAGTTAGGCATAAGGAGTAGGTTTAGTTAGAAATGAGTGTATTATTAGTTAGTTAGCCATAGATTTAGGGGTTTAAAGGAAGGTTTAGGTTTAGAGTTTAGGTGGGCCCTACACTAAATTTTAACATGGGAGACAAATGAAATAGAGCTGGTGCTAAATTAACTTTTATTAAATTACCTGTTGTAAGAGCATTGTGTAAATATATCATGAAAATAATGCGATAAACTATAGTGTCATAACTAAATAATCACAGTGATAATGCTTATATGTATTTACTCACAATGCATATCATATATCAGTTCTAATCATATATTACATGAAAATTATTATTAAATTGACATTGTTTTACAAAACCTCTTTAAACGTATGCTTTCCTATGGTCACTGCAAAGGGGCATCTGAAGCAGATTGGGGGGATGCTCAATGCAAAAGGAATCTGGTCTGGACTCCAAAGAGGAAATTGGGGGAGGACGGGCACACCCACAACTTGCATTTCTCAGCAGTGGTGTTGTCGTAGATATTAAAATGTTTACAAAGTATAGATTAAGGAACAGCGTGCACACAAAAATCCTGTTTCAAATTTTACCCGGCTACTTAAAATCTCCTACGTCAGCAAACAAACACGAGGATTCAGTTCCCCCATGTGGCCAGCATATTAACACTTGTGGCAGGCTTATGCATTGTATGATCATATATTGTAACTAAACTCCCATTATTTTTGTCTAGGCTAGGGGTTTTCAAAAAACTATTTCATTCTGTGAGCTTTGAAAAAAAAAATTTGCAACTCTGTGAGCTTTGAAATTGCTGTTTAGCGAATGAGTGAGTACACTGGACCATGTTTGCTTTATCAATTGACCCCCAACAGCACCCTTAAACCCTATATGCATGTTCAGGTGACTGCAGCCTTCTTGTTTTCATATTAGACTAGCCAATTGCTAGTAACATACAAGAGGGGCCTGGTACATCAGTGGACTTTGGGGGGAGTGAGGGGTGTTACATAAAAAATTGGGGGCTGGACAGATCACTCCAGTTCATCTTTAGATCAACTGTAGAAGCAGAGGGATTAATCTCTATAGGTGAAGGCATTTCATAGCGAAATGCCACATATACAGACTCCATGCACCATGACCAGTTCAAATAACTAAAGTGGTGGCCAGTGGCGGATCCAGAGCCTGATCTCGGGAGGGGCACTTGTAGATTATTTAAAGAAATAATCCAGACACAATAACCACTACAGCTCAGTGTAGTGGTTATGGTGTCAATAGTGCCGGGACCCCCTCCCACAGTAAGTAGTCAAACCGTTTAAGAACAGTTTGACAACTTACCTGAGATCTGCTGGGAAATGGGGCTGTAGTAGGGTATAGGAGCAGTGGTGTGTGTGAGTGGTGCAGTGTGTGTGTGTGTGAAGGTTGTAGTGTGTGAGTGAGGGCGGCAGTGTTTGTCAGGGATGCAGTGTGTGTAACAGTTGGAGTGTGTGTGAGTATTGCAGTGTGTGTGTATGGCGGGCAGTATGTGTGTATGGGGGAGCAGTGTCTATGTGGGGGCAGTGTATGTATGTGGGGGCAGTGTATGTGTATGGGGAGCAGTTTGTGTGTATGGGGGGCAGTGTGTGTGTGTGTATAGGGGGAGGGGGCAGTGTGTGTGTATGGGGGCAGTGTATGTGTATGGGGGCAGTGTGTGTGTGTATGGGGGCAGTTTGTGTGTATGGGGGCAGTTTGTGTGAATGGGGGCTGTTTGTGTGTGTATAGGGGCAGTTTGTGTGAATGGGGCAGTTTGTGTGTATAGGGGGCAGTTTGTGTGAATGGGGGGCAGTTTCGTGAATGGGGGCAGTTTGTGTGAATGGGGAAGTTTGTGTGTGTGTGAATGGGGGGCAGTTTGTGTGTGTGAATGGGGGCAGTTTGTGTGTATGGGGGCAGTTTGTGTGTGTATGGGGGCGGTGTGTGTGTGTGTGTGTATGGGAGGCAGTTTGTGTGCTGTAGGGGGCAGTTTGTGTGAATGGGGAGACTTGGTTTCCATTGTATATGGGGCAGTGTGTGTGTATGGGGGCAGTGTGTGTGTATGGGGGGCAGTGTGTGTGTGTGTATGGGGGCTTGGTTGTGTGTGGGGGGGCAGTTTGTGTGTATGGGAGCAGTTTGTGTGTATAGGGGGCAGTTTGTGTGTATAGGGGCAGTTTGTGTGTATGGCGGACAGTTTGTGTGTGTATGGGGGGCAGTGTGTATATGTGGGGCAGTAAATATGTGGGGCAGTAAGTGTGTATGTGGGGAAGTATGTGTGTATGGGGGGGCAGTGTGTGTGTATGAGGAGCAGTGTGTGTGTATGAGGGGCAGTTTGTGTGTACGGGGGCAGTTTGTGTGAATGGGGGCAGTTTGTGTGAATGGGGGGCAGTTTGTGTGTATGGGGGCAGTTTGTGTGTGTGTGAATGGGGGGGGCAGTTTGTGTGTATGGGGGCCAGTGTGTGTGAATGGGGGCAGTTGTGTGTGTGGGGGCAGTTTGTGTGTGAATGGGGGGGCAGTTTGTGTGAATGGGGGGGCAGTATTGGGGTCAATGTATGTGTGTGTGTGATCAGGGTAGGGTGGCTTTTTTTTTATAATATAATATTTTTTAATTTAATTAAAAAATAAATAAATATTCTATGCCCCTTCTTACCTTTACTGGGGGGAGGGGGGACATTTCCCTGGTGGTCTGGTGGGGATTCATTGGTGGTCAGGTGGTGAGAGTGAACTCTAGCCCACGCTCCCGGGCTAGAGTTCACTCTCGCGAGATTTGGAGCGTTGCCATGGTAACCGCAGCAACGCTCCAAATCTCGAGAGAGGAGGACCCGGAGGAGTTGCAGCCTTAACTTCCGGGTCCTCCCTTTCACTCCCTCCCTCTGCCGCCGGCCGCCAGCACAGTGCCTGCGGACCGGGGAGGGAGATCTCTGATCTCCCCTCCGGTCCGCAGGCACATCGCAGGGCTCGCAGGGGAGGGAGAGGGAGACCGTCGGATTTCTCGGGGGGGGGGCAATTGCCCCGTTGCCCCCCCCCTGGATCCGCCACTGGTGGTGGCAGTAGTAACCATTTGAAAGAACAGCCCAAGCTCCATGCAGCCTACTTAACTTTTAGTAGGTGAAAAGTTTGGTTTGAAATCTACTTTAATCAAGATAAAATTACAAGAGAGCAACACACTTACTGATACATGAAGATTAAATGAACATAGTAAGTGTCCCCTGTAACTTGTGTGCGCTGAAAAAGTAACAGGTCATGTCTATGAATGTAAATATATATGTCCCCCCTGTGGCTGGCGCACATAACCATGGAATTTAATCCGGTCAACTGCGATAAAAGAAGTCCTTGGCATACCATCTTTTTGTTGTATATGCAATTTAACCAGCTAAAGCACCGGGACATTATAGATAATTTCCATCCAGCGTTCCATTTTATGTCTTAAACTACTGTATGATTATATTTCATTTGTAATGTCATTCACAGTCTGCTCCTCTTCAAATGATGGTAACAATAAAGGTCTTTCATCTCATCAACGTGAAGTCCTGTCCCTGATGGACAAGGTGACGTCAGCTGTTAGGCAATTACTTGACAGCAAACAGCATCTAGAGATCCTTAAAAAAGTTGAAGATAGCATGAAGGATGTTATCTGTGACAGTCAAATCAGTGCACAAGCTAGTTCTGAAATCGCAAAGTTCCTAAATGGTGTCCTGGACGCAATAAATATTGGAAAATTGGACAAGAATACAGTGATCAAATACCTGGAGAAGGACCCTATGAAATGTGTACAAAAATTCAAAGACAAATTTCTCAACAAAGCTTAAAATTCAAGGTACTGGTAAGGATTATAAGTGATATATTGAATTATATTTTTATTACAAATGGAGAGAATGTTATGCCTATTTGACAAAATATGTTTTGTAGCCATATGTAAAAATAATCTGGTATTTGCCCCTGCAGTCTCACTGCTTAATTCTCTGACATTCCGGAGTTAAATAACTTTTGTTTCTGTTTATGCAGCCCTAGCTAAATTTCCCCTGCCTGTGATGCACACAGGCTACATGAGTTTATCTCCTGCTCTGTTAATTGAACTTTAATCACACACAGGAGGCTTCTGCAGGCTCTAGCAGGGCATTAAAATGGAAAAGAATATGCAATAAATCAAGTTTAAACATTAAAGCTCTCTTTACAGGAAGTTTTAAAGAGGTCTGTATAAGTCACATGTAGGCGAGGTGTGGCTAGGGCTAGATAAAGTGATTTAACTCCTGCATGGCAGAGAACTGACCAGTTAGACTACAGGAGTATAATCTATACACCAAAATTGTGTCATTAAGCTAAAGTTGTTTGGTATTTATGACATATTTAAGGGTGCTTGTTACACAGGCTCTTGTAAATGTTCCAATAGTATAAAGTAATGCAGAAAATGCTGGAGATAGATAAATATTATAATGGATACAATAGTGAGTCAAGGGATAATGACATCCAGGTGCTGAAATTTCAGACTCTTATTATATTATCATGTCTGACTGCAAATGTATATGTATGAGTGTGCATGTATCTGTATGTGACTGGGGGCATTGTTGGTGGAATGGGTAGGAGTACATTAAACGTGGTGCTATGCAATGTGTAAGTGACTGAATGGCTATATTTACTGGGTTGGAGTATCCAAATGTATTGGAGAAAGTGATTAGATTACAGTTTGGGAATTTGGTGACTGAATGTGTGAATGCAAGCTTATTGGGAATTACATGACCAAATGTATTAATATTTATGGTGGGATGGGTGTAGAAGACTGGAAGGTAAGGAAGGGTATGTAATGGGATGGGTTTGTTGATGACTAGAAGGTAAGGTGATTGAAGTATATCAAAAGAAAGATAGCTGTCAGTAAATTCAAACAGATTCAACAAGATCAGTCCTAATATTTCTATGTTTATAAATCAAATAGACAATATTACAAATGTGACAAAAATTGATAAAGTGGAGCGCTTAAAAAAGTGCTAGTGCTTTTATATTTACCCTTAGTACATTGATATTTCATGGGTATGAAGCGAATATATAAAAGAAGGAGACAAAAACAAACATATATAGTGCAGATGGTAATATATATGGAATTGAAGATAATAAATGCTAAGATCCACTCACGTGGACCAGAGCCTGTAGTTACCGGCTCTGAAATCAATGCCGTTATGCCTTTGTGGTAGCATACCACCATCCACCGAGTGGATCTCCAGTTTGTAGGTATATAAAACAAAAAAAGAAAGAGAAAACTCCAACGATACAGTATATTGTTTCTTCTTGTATACACTGGCTTAAAAATTTCTTAAGCTCACCTTATTCAGAGCCCTTAAATCCTGGCTCTGGAATTGAATGCCTGTTGCCTAATTCAGGATTGTCAAAACCTCAAATGGATCTCTTCTGAAGCTGGGAATCATATAGGACCAGAACTGTGTGAAGTTGATTATACAAATTTATTGCCAAAATATTGCTAAAACAAATAAATAAAACAAGTGTAAAACAAGTATAAAAATACTAAGTCCTTATGTTCCAATGCCAATAAGCATTTCACTCGACTTGATCTTCCTATGTGTGTTGCTCCAGAACCATAAGGTATCCATTTTTAAATGCTACTCTCAAACGAAATCTCCGGTCACATGATGGTGTTGCAGCCAATCATCTTGCCGGCCGGTCCATTCCTGTGTTGTAGACATTTAGGCTTGATAAGGGGTATCCACCCCTTTCTTTCTCATACTTTCCAATAGAGAACGTCCTTTTGATGAGCCCTCCCAGTCCCTGTTAAGGCTTGTTCTGCGTGACACGTCACTTCTGGTTGGCAAGCAAGCCCATCTCTTGCACACCTCCGCCGGGTCCACATCGTCTCACGTAACCTTGCTGATGAACGGACTTCGGGTGGGGTGTGTGTGCTTCTAGAGGACTCCATATTGTTTGTGGGCAAGGAAGGGCAGAATAGAGAAATGGATAAAGAAATAGTTACTAAGCAAGAGATGGGCTGGCATGCGAACCGGAAGTGACGTGTCGCGAAGGGTGCAACGCCGATTCCGTGTTTGAGCTGGACGCAGAACGAGCCTTAACAGGGACTGGTGGGCTCGCAAAAGGATGTTCTCTATTGGATAGTTTAAGAAAGAAAGGGGTGGATACCCCTAATCAAGCCTAAATGTCTACAACATAGGAATGGACCAGCCAGCAACATGATTGGTTGCAACACCATCATGTTTGAGAGCAGCATTTAAAATGGATACCTTCTGGAGCAACACACACAGCCAACTGAGGATAGCTCAAGTTGAGTGAAACGCCACCACTGGACAGTGGTGTGTCCCTTTAAGTGGGTTGGTGGAAAGAGATAAGTACAAAAAGCCTTAGCCAGTGTCATTTCTAGTCCAGTCGGACTAGAATAGCAGAGGTGCAGTATCAGTTACAGAGGGTTTGAAAACTTGGTAGTGTCCCTGCTCCTCCAGCATTTGTGTGTGAGGCTGGGCAGGAACTGGACGGGATAATTTGGAATCTGCCTACTAAAAACCTCTCACTCAGGAAATGCTTGCAAGAGGAGCAGAGGATGCTCTCAGTGATGCACTTATTTACTCATGTGAGAAGTGTGGGGAATTCAAAGTGAATTTAAAAAAAGGCAAAAGTAGCCAAACTGGAAATATTCTCCAAGAACTCTATGCTTCCAGTTTGGCTATTTTGGCTTTAAATTCACTTGGAGTTGCCCCCCCTTACCCGACTCCATTCTACCGGTTGCAAATAACCATGTGTTTTCCTGCAGCACTGCTATCAATCATTGGAGAGTGATTAATTTTCAAATAACCATTCAAACTCTAGATGCCTATACCCTAAACATCCCTTCCTCCCTAGCTCTGAATTTAATACCTTCCGAAACCTACAGAAACCCTTTGCTTTTCTTTAGTCCTAAACTTAAAGTCTAAACCTGACCAAACATACTTGAATATTAGGTTTGCAAAATGTGCCACAGCTCTAACAATAAATTTAATAATCGTTAACACACTCTGCACCCAATACTAAATTTAACCCGACTCTAACCCATCCTACCAAAACTGAAACCTATCTAAATTTTTACATTCTCTTGGGGTTTAAGCTTTAAGTCATCATGGGGTTCATAGCACACACAAGTTGTTATTGTAGCAGTGAAGTTAGTAGCATGCATGGTATCTCTGAGGCATTTAACAATAGTTAAAACCAGAAAGGAATGGTGAGAGCACAAAAAAACAGAAATTACCCTTATGTCCAATATAAAACCTGTAAAAATACAATGGGAAAAACAGGCATAGGGTAATAACGTACAGATAATATATGAATGAGTAAATACTTAGATAAACTCACATATTCATGAGCCACTTAATATGAAAAGCTGGCTCAGATTAAGAACGTTGAATGGATTAATGAAGTGGTAGCTGTAATCCAACCGCTAACTGCTTGTTCCTTCTCGCTTTAAAAAATCCAGGATGCAGGATCTTTAATGAAACCTTTTATTCAGTATAGCAGCAAAACAAACAGCAGCAGCAAAAATTAAAATTCAGCTGTAGCGGAGCGGCAATATTAAATCCCACGATCTCCGCTGGTTCAGAAGGTAATCCACAGTCAAGCGCTGAAAAGTAAGGCAGTATCCCAAATCTCCCAGTAACCGAACGAAACACAGTTCTGAGAGGACTTATATTATATTTATTCATAGGCTCCACAATTTATACAATTCCCTATGCAAGGGGTTTCCTGAGTCCTATCCCAGGGGTATTCCAAGAGTGGACTACGTGGGGAACTTACATTACAGAGCCTTTCTCCCATCAGGCACTGCTGCACGAGAGGGATCCTCCCACTGGAATATACTGTTACGTGGATTATCCCTCCGTGCAGCAGAACCGGCAATTTACTTTAAAATACACAGTTTTTCGACTATTAGGTCTATTTGCACGAATGGACGTTCGGTAGATAGCTGGGGTCTGAGCGCATCATTCGTGAGATTACCGCTCAGATCCCAGCTAAAACAACCGAACGCCGCACGAAAAACATATTCATTAAAACACACACTTAAAAGACCGATTGATGTATAGGGAATAAAATACCGAACGGCCCGGAACTCCCGAACGGCCTGGAAGTTCAGCGGTGTTCGCGCCGTCGAGTAGCCGTTTTTAGTACCACACGCTCGACGACCAAACACCGCTGGGGGAACAAAGGATCCAAGATGGCCGACCGCCGCATGGTCGGTAGCCGAACGACGGCCACCTAGGAGAGCCTCTAATTACCGATTGGTTAACGAGCGCCACACGTCTCTCAGTGTGTGGGCTGTTACAGGGTGGTTTATTCGGTTCACGAACGGTCCGTAAAGGTGCCGTTCGTGAAACGAAAGGGAATCAGCTATCTGCTTTCGGCAGATAGCCAATGCAGGCAATACAATGGTACACAATCACATTACGTTATACCCAGGAACACACATATCACGCAAATCATACAGGCAACCCTTAAAGCGATAGTCCTTAAATATTGTCCAAGTGGCTAGGTTTGCCACATCAGCAATTCCACCTCTGCACGCTAACGCGTTTCAGCCGAAGCCTTTATCAAAGTGTGAGTCCATTCGGTCTGTTCCGTGTTTAAATAGGAGACTTTTCGCGCCTTTCTTCCGTTCGGAAATAAGCTCCTCCCACTTTTTCTAGACGCAACCTTATTGGGCATCCTAGCGTCCATAGCAACTTCAGTTTACTTCAGTGTTCATCGAAAGAAAAGACGTCGAACTAATCCTTTCACTTACACAGTCTTTCATGTTGCAGAATCAAAGTCCTATTAGCAACATACTTTATACATATCGTCAATTACATTAAAACAAATATTGTAACAAAATACTCTTATACATAAAATATTAACAACATCAAGACTCTCTCTTTCTCAAAAAAGGAATTAAAGGCAAAAGGGAGAAAACAAGAGGAAATAAATTGAAAGGGGAAATCAACTATTTACATTAAGAGATATACCGGGGAAATGCATTATATATAAAATGCACCTATTTTACCTCTCATCATAATAAAATATTAATCAATATTAATAAAATTAGTCATATCCAGATAAAGAATTATTATACATAAATATACTAAAATCATATTTAAAATTAGTACCAATATAAAACAAATTAATATGATCTCTAATGAATTTAAATAGATAATTTTGATTAAATATAAGTGTTAATTTCAAAATCTACGTTTAATCCCCCCAGTGTGAGTGTATCCAAATTAAAAATCCATTTCATCTCATTTTTACTTAAGAGATTATCCTTATCACCCCCTCTCCAGTGTATTTTAATGTGGTCTATTGCAAAAAAATCCAAACCTACTGGATCTCCATCATGATGCTCCAGAAAGTGTTTAGATACACAATGGTTGGGGAATCTTCTCTGGATGTTGTATATATGCTCCCTAATTCGTATTTTTAATGGGCAAGACGTTTTTCCTACATATTGTACACCACAGGGGCATGTTATCATATATACAACATCAGCAGTGTTACACATAATAAAATGTTTGATTTCATATTCTTTTTTAGTATTAAAAGAAACAAATTTAAAAATTCTTCTATTTTTCCCAGCTCTTATTTTGCACCCTCTACAATTTCCACAATAGAAGAATGCTTTCTGTTCCTTTCAAAAATTATTGGGATACTCTTTCTTTTCTTTCTCTTGGAAGCTACTGGTCAAAATTTGCTTAAAATTTCTAGCTCCTCTAAAGATCAGTTTTGCTTTTTCTCCTATTAGTGGGCGTAACTCGTCGTCTAACTTCAAAACATGCCAATTTTTATCAAAATTTTTACGTAAAGTGCGGTTGTTAAAATTAAAATTAAAAATTAGTGGGATAGTTTCTGATCCTTCTTTTTTAACTTCCTTATCTTTATATTTCAATATTTCTAGCCGATCTTCGTGTTTTACCTGTTTATAGGCTTTCTCTAAAATATTTTTATCATATCCCTTTTCTAAAAATTGTTGCTCTAAAATTTTAACCTGATCGTTAAAATCTTGTTCATCTATACAATTTCTCTTCAACCTTAAAAATTGTCCTTTTGGTATGTTTGATAACCATGGTTTAAAATGGCAGCTGGAAAAATCAATAAAACTATTAACATCTACAGATTTAAAATATGTCCGACTCTTAATTACACCATTATCTATAAAAATATCTAGATCTAAGAAATTAATATTTGAAGGACTAATGACATGAGTCAATTTAATATTCCATACATTATTATTAAGAGAATCAATAAAATCTAATCTAAAAGATTGGGAACTACCTCTCCATATAATAAAAATATAATCTATATACCTTTTATAGAGGACCAGACTTGCCCCTATGTCCAACCTAGAGAAGACATATTTTTCTTCCCAAAAGGACATAAACAGGTTGGCATAACTCGGGGCAAATCTGGTCCCCATGGCAGTTCCCTTGGTTTGAAGGTAAAAATCGTTTTCAAACCAAAAAAATATATTTTTAAGAATCATATTGATCCCCTTCACAATAAAATCAATTTGTGCTTCTATAAAATTACCAAATTTATTTAAAAAATGTCTAGTAGCCTCACACCCTACCCCGTGTTCAATATTGGTGTAGAGGCTACTGACATCACAGGTAGCCATTATAAAGAAATCTTCCCATTTAAAATTATTTAAAATTTGTAAAAGGCTGATAGTATCTTTTAGGTATGCCGGACATTTTGGGACTAAATTTTTTTTAAAATAGTCTATATACTGGGAGAGCGGTGATAAGAGAGATCCAATTCCAGATACAATAGGTCTCCCTGGTGGATTAATAGGATCTTTATGCATCTTGGGTAAAACATAGATCACTGGGATTCTAGGGAATTTGACATCTAAAAACTCATATTCCTTTAAAACCACTTATAAGCACTTTTTGGATAAAGGTTTTAATGAGGGCATTTTAACTAAGAAGGAATATGAGTTTTTAGATGTCAAATTCCCTAGAATCCCGGTGCTGAATTTTAATTTTTGCTGCTGCTGTTTGTTTTGCTGCTATACCGAATAAAAGGTTTCATTAAAGATCCTGCATCCTGGATTTTTTAAAGCGAGAAGGAGCAAGCAGTTAGCGGTTGGATTACAGCTACCACTTCATTAATCCATTCAACGTTCTTAGTCTGAGCCAGCTTTTCATATTAAGTGGCTCATGAATATGTGAGTTTATCTAAGTATTTACTCATTCATATATTATCTGTACGTTATTACCCTATGCCTGTTTTTCCCATTGTATTTTTACAGGTTTTATATTGGACATAAGGTTAATTACTGTTTTTTTGTGCTCTCACCATTCCTTTCTGGTTTTAACTATTTATTTATGTGAGGTGGAGTGACGCACTTTTTGGTGATTGTAGCACTTTGTTTTATATTGTTTTTTTCACCATATATACACCTATTTTATTAGATCTATGTGAATGTTCTTCCATATTACGCAGCTCATACTGGTTGAGATGGCAGGGAGGTAGGTTCTCCCTCCGTCCAACTCAAGTAGTTTCCATTTGTCAGGTCTATTTATATTACATGCTCCTTCTGATTAACATTCAACACTCTGTGTTTTAAAAAAAGGACTCTCAGGCCAAAAGTTGCCAAATGCCCTTGAGCAATTGGCAAACATACTTTGATTGAGAGTCAATAAAACAATGGACACTACGCATAATTTCAGATCAGTCTAATGGTAAATGTTATTATATAAGGTTACAGAAGCCATTGCAAAAAAAAAAATCAAAAAAATCTGTAATACAAATATATAGAAAAATATATGTTAGCACTACTAATTTTATATTTTCTTCCCTCCCTTTTTCAGTTCCAATGACCATGATGATTATAATGGAAGATTTGGCATTTCATCTGATCTACAAACCTACAGAAACAATATTACTAAATTACATTGTTAACGATCCATTTAAATAATATAAAATAAAAACATGCATGCACAATTTTGTCAGTGTTATCCTAATAGGATGTTGTTGTTGTTGATATAATTAATTACTATAATTACATTATTATTATTACTGGTATTTATATAGCATCAGCATATCCCGTAGTACTTTACAATATTATCAAAGGAGCAGATCTAACAATAAATGAGACAATTCCAAAAACTTAAAGGAACAATAGGTTCAAGTGGGTCCTGCTCAAACGAGCTTACAGTCTATAGGAAGGGGGGCATAAAATCCAACAGGACAGGAGGTAGCAATCAAACAAGGTGGAGTGAAGCAAAGCTGGAGGAGAGAATAGTGTGCTGCCCTTTAGGAGAGAGCAAGGGACAGGTATGTGAGGTAGAGGTTACTCTGGGAGGCCATAAGCTTTCCTAAAGAGATGGGTTTTGAGGCACTTTTTAAATGATTGAAGACTAGGGAGAGTTTGATGGTCATAGGCATGCTATTCCAAAGGAAAGGAGCCACCCGCAAGAAGTCCTGCAAGTGTGAGTTGGCTGTACGGGTGCGAGCAGCAGACAGGAGAAGGTCATGGGCAGAGCAGAGAGACCGAGAAGGTGCATACCTGCGGATTAGTGAAGAGGTATAGGAGGGGCTAGAATTGGTCAGTGCTTTATAGGTGTGGATTAGTACCTTGAATTGACTCCTATGGGATACTGGAAGCCAATGTAAGGACTGACAGAGGGGTGAGGTGTGAGAGGAGCGACAGGAGAGAAAAATCAGTCTAGCTGCAGTATTCATTACAGACTGTAGTGGGGCAATATAACTTGTGGGAAGACCTATTAGGAGAGAGTTACAATAATCCATGCAAGAGATTACTAGAGCATGGACAAGCTCCTTAGTAGCATCTTGCGTAAGAAAGGGACGGATGTGGGCTATGTTTTTAAGATGAAATCTACAGGATTTGGTAACAGACTGGATGTGAGGCTCAAATGTGAGGCTAAAATCAAGTATAATGCCAAGAGAGCGGTTGCAAGGATGGACTGATGTGGGTACCACTCACTTGAAGGGAGAGCGAAAGAAAGGGATCAGTATTAGGAGGAGGAAAGACAAGTTTTAGAGAGATTGTGTTTCAAAAAGAGGGAGGACATCCAATCAAAGATGGAAGAAGGGCAAGCAGTGACACCTTTCAGGACGGCAGGGGAGAAGTCCGGGGAGGAGAGGTATATCTGAGTGTCACCAGCATACAGGTGGTATTGGAATCCAAATGAGATAATAAGTTTGCCAAGAGAGGCATAGAAAGGGACCAAGTACAGAGCATTGGGGGACTCCAACAGAGATAGGACAAAGGGAGGAGGTATCATTAGAAAAGGAGACACTGAATGAGCGTTGGGAGAGATAGGAGGAAAACCAAGAGAGGACAGTGCTACAGAGACTGAGTGATTGAAGAGTTTGGAAAAGGAGAACATGGTTAACAGTGTCAAAGGTAGCAGAGAGGTCAAGAAGAATTAGTATAGAGTAGTACCCTTTGGATTTAGCTGTGATTTGGTCATTAGTGACTTTAATAAGAGCAGTCTCAGTAGAGGGGAGGGGGCGGAAGCCAGACTGAAGAGGGTCAAGGAGAGAGTTGGAATTGAGGAAGCAAGTCAGATGGGAAAAGACAAGTCTTTCCAGAAGCTTTGAGGAAAAAGGCAACAGGGATATGGGACGATAGTTACAGTTGCAAGAAAAAGTATGTGAACCCTTTGGAATAATATGGAATTCTGCATAAATTGGTCATAAAATGTGATCTGATCATCATCTAAGTCCCAACAATAGACAATCACAGTCTGCTTAACCCCTTAAGGACCACACTTCTGGAATAAAAGGGAATCATGACATGTCACACATGTCGTGTGTCCCTAAGGGGTTAAACTAATAACACACAAAGAATGAAATGTTGCCATGTTTTTATTGAACGCACCATGTAAACATTCACAGTGCAGGTGGAAAAAGTATGTGAACCCCTAGACTAATGACATCTCCAAGAGGAGGGAGATGTCAGCCAACTGGAGTCCAATCAATCAAATGAGATTGGAGGTGTTGGTTACAGCTGCCCTGCCCTATAAAAAACACACACCCGTTCTGGGTTTGCTTTTCACAAGAAGCATTGCCTGATGTGAATGATGCCTCGCACAAAAGAGCTCTCAGAAGACCTACGATTAAGAATTGTTGACTTGTATAAAGCTGGAAAGGGTTATAAAAGTATCTCCAAAAGCCTTGCTGTTCATCAGTCCACGGTAAGACAAATTGTCCATAAATGGAGAAAGTTCAGCACTGCTGCTACTCTCCCTAGGAGTGGCCGTCCTGTAAAAATGACTGCAAGAGCAAAGCGCAAACTGCTCAATGAGGTGAAGAAGAATCCTAGAGTGTCAGCTAAAGACTTACAAAAGTCACTGGCAAATGCTAACATCCCTGTTAGCGAATCTACAATACGCAAAACACTAAACAAGAATGGATTTCATGGGAGGATACCACAGAGGAAGCCACTGCTGTCCAAACAAAACATTGCTGCACATTTACAGTTTGCACAAGAGCACCTGGATGTTCCACAGCAGTACTGGCAAAATATTCTGTGGACAGATAAAACCAAAGTTGAGTTGTTTGGAAGAAACACACAACACTATGTGTGGCGAAAAAAAGGCACAGCACATCAACATCAAAACCTCATCTCAACTGTGAAGTATGGTGGTGGGGGCATCATGGTTTGGGGTACTTTGCTGCATCAGGGCCTGGACAGATTGCTATCATCTAAGGAAAAATGAATTCCCAAGTTTATCAAGACATTTTGCAGGAGAACTTAACCCCTTAAGGACACATGACATGTATGACATGTCATGATTCCCTTTTATTCCAGAACTTTGGTCCTTAAGGGGTTACGGCCATCTGTCTACCAGCTGAAGCTCAACAGACGATGGGTGTTGCAACAGGACAATGACCCAAAGCATAGAAGTAAATCAACAACAGAATGGCTTAAACAGAAGAAAATACGCCTTCTGAAGTGGCCCAGTCAGAGTCCTGACCTCAACCTGATTGAGATACTGTGGCATGACCTCAAGAAAGCGATTCACACCAGACAGCCCAAGAATATTGCTGAACTGAAACAGTTCTGTAAAGAGAAAATAAAACACAATCTGGGTGCTTAAGCAGGAGAAAATGTTAACAATCGCTTCACACTCTGGTAAAATTCCCCAAAACTACCAACAAGAAACAATAAAGAAGTAATGAGTGGAGCAAGAGAAAAAACACCAATGTAGAGACGGTAAAGGAAATAAAACGAATTACAACCTTCCAAAATTGTTGGTTGATTCCTCCAAATGTAGTAGTTATATGTAAAGAGAAAGAGAAAAAATATGCAATGATAGTGCAGATGGTTAACTATGACGGAAAATGCACATCACATATGTTAAATCAGACCTTAGAGCACTCATATTAAATCTCATCATATTGTGCTTCAATGAAAAATGGCATAAATTTATTGCCTGCTACATGCAGAAAAACATGACATAAATACAAAAGAAATAAAAGCAATGATAGATAAGGAGAGTGGTTAGCCCCTTACTGAAAGTGTTGGTGAGTAAAACAGCTTATGCTGTAACTCACTACTTGTGCTTATAACAGTGGGGTGGCAGGTAGATTGTAGTCTGCTCTCCAGACTCAGTTGGATTCACAAGACAAATATGTTGCTTGGGTCTCTAGAATTCCGCTCCGAGTTCCGTGTGTAACAAGCTCCTCCCCCTTTTGTGACGTCAACGCGTTTCGCCGTTTCGTGGCTTCCTCAGGACTTGTTCATAACCACCATGTTGGTTATGGGCATATAAAGGGCACAGTCCTTTATGATTGATTCTCTCGAAATTACCACAATTATAATGCTATATCCAGTCTAACATTAGCTTGTACAAATTAAAACGTAATACCAAGTTAATAACCACAAAGATTAGAATTAACCAATAAATAATAATAACATATATTAGGAAAAAGATGTTTAAAATTAGTTAAATAACTGATAGCATGTAACCGAAGGAATTTGAATACCTAATCTCATTTAAACGGGTGCTGTACCTGTTCTGGTTCTTAAAGTGACCCTATATTACATATGGTACAGAAATTCATTATAATTATATATGAAACCAAATTTAAAATGGAACACTTTTAGTAAGGGGCAAACCACTCTCCTTATCTATCATTGCTTTTATTTCTTTTGCATTTATGTCATGTTTTTCTGCATGTAGCAGGCAATAAATTTATGTCATTTTTCATTGAAGCACAATATGATGAGATTTAATATGAGTGCTCTAAGGTCTGATTTAACATATGTGATGTGCATTTTCAGTCATTGTTAACCATCTGCACTATCACTGCATATTTTTTCTCTTTCTCTTTACATATAACTACTAATTTGGAGTTCTGTAAAGAGGAATGGTCAAGAATTACTCCTGACCGTTGTGCACGTCTGATCTGCAACTACAGGAAACGTTTGGTTGAAGTTCAACCAGTTATTAAATCCAACGGTTCACATACTTTTTCCACCTGCACTGTGAATGTTTACATGGTGTGTTCAATAAAAACATGGCAACATTTCATTCTTTGTGTGTTATTAGTTTAAGCAGACTGTGATTGTCTATTGTTGTGACTTAGATGATGATCAGATCACATTTTATGACCAATTTGTACAGAAATCCATATCATTCCAAAGGGTTCACATACTTTTTCTTGCAACTGTAGAAGGGGAGGACGGGTCAAGAGATGATTTTTTTAAGATGGGTACTACAGTAGCATGTTTAAGGGCAGCAGGGACAACACCAGAAGAGAGAGAGCAGTTGAATATGTGTGTTAAGGAAGGTACAAGACAAGAGGAGAGAGATCTGGTAAGGTGAGACAGGACAGGATCAAGCGGGCAAGTGGTGGGTCGAGAAGAAAGGAGAAGCGCAGCCACCTCTTGTTCAGTAGCCTGGGAGAAAGTCTGAAGGGTAGGAAAGACATGATCTATGTGTGGTTGAGAAAGAGAGGGGCAAGGGGGTGAGAATGCTTTCCTTAGCTGTTAAATCTCATTGGTAAAGTAGCATGCAAAGCTATAAGGCTAGTTTGGGGGGGTGGCCACAGCAGGGCAAAGAAGGGAGTTAAGGTATTAAAAAGACATCTGGGATTGCGGGAGCATGAGCTAATGAGGGAGGAAAGTATGACTTTTTGGCAAGGACTGTGCTGTATGAACGCAACATGAATTTGTAGTGGAGGAAGTCAGACTGGGTGCATGACTTCCTCCAGCAGCATTGAACAGAACGGGAGCATCTCTGCATGTAGTGTGTTGATTTAGTGTGCCACAGTTGGGATAGTGTTCTCCTCAAGGTGCATGTTTGGAGTTGGGCTGCAGAGTCCAGGGCAGAGGTGAGGGTAGTGTTATATGAGGAGAAAGCCAGTGATGGGCAGGAGAAAGTAGGGATGGCTAGAAGTTGGGAATCAATATTAGCTGATAGCTGCTGAAGATCAATATAATTCATATTTCTTTTTAGTTGAAGGGGGTTAGGTGGGGGATGATGGAGTAGGGGGCAATTAAGAGCAAATAATAAGAGGTGGTGATCTGAGAGAGGAAATGGAGTGTTACGAAGATTAGAGATTGTACATTCATGATAGAAAATAAGATCAAGGGTATTGCCTGCTACATGGATGGAGGACTTAGTCAACTGTGATGGCCCAAGGGAGGAGGTCATTGAAAGCAGTTTTGAGGCTACTGAGGACAAGGGTAGGTTAATGGGAATGTTGAAGTCCCCAAGAATTAGGGATGAAATATTAGAGGAAAGGAAGTAGGTAAGCCAGGCAGCAAAGTGGTAAAGGAAGAGGAGAGGGGAACCAGGTGGACTATAGATAAAGGCTATGTTTGCAGAGATGGGTTTGAAAAGGTAAATTGAATGAAATTCAAATGAGGAGAAAGAGAGGGAAGAGGGGGTGGGTAGAGGTTTGAAGGAGCAGTTAGGCGAGAGCAGAAACCCTACACCACCATCTTTTCTTTCAGAGTGTCTTGGGTTGTGGGAAAATGGAAGACCACCAAAGAATAGAGAGGCAGGGGTAGCGGTGTAAGAAAGAGAAAGCAATGTTTCTGTTAAGGCTAGTAAGTCTAGGGGACAGGGGATGAAAAGGTCGTGCACAGCAGTGGATTTAGTAACACTTCAAACAGAGTGACATGAGATGGGTACGAGATTATTGTGATTCCTGGAGTTAGCACATGGTGGGTTTGCAGAGGTGGGACCTGGATTTGGAGAGATATCACCAGCTGCTAGGAGCAGAAGGATAGAGAGTAAGAGAAGGTGGCAGTAGGATTTAAAAGTTTTGTGAGAGGTTGTATTATGAGATGTGGGTTAGATGACTACCAACTTACAACATTTTTAAAGAGTCAAGAATATTTAACGTTAAATAAAAATTATCTCTAATCATCTAGTTTGAAAAAAACTAAAACATTTTCTCCCCAAAGAGAATCAGATACTTTAATGTATATTTTTAGATTCTAACCAAATCTTAATTGTTAATAATATATACACAATCCATCACCTGCATATCACATAAGTCAGACTTCAGGCCTTGGGCATAGATTTTCCAAGGAATCATATTTCCATAGCATTCCCAGAATTCCTAGGTTAAAATGCAAATGAGCACAGGCAGACATCTCCTGGGATTTCTGCAATGGTGTGCCTCTTTAAACGCAGCTATTTTTTAAACCAAATAATGGGTTACAATCTAAAAGGACCAGTGACAAGGGACCAGCCATGGACTGTACAGTTTCAACCCTTTGGTCACTGTCAGCATTGTGCTGGTTCTAGTCTGAAAGTTGAAGCCTCTATGTGATTTTATACCTTTATGTCAAATAATTTGTGGTATCGGGTATATATGCATTTGATGGAGATTGACAATTCATATAGGGAGAGTTGCACAAAACAATAATTTTTTGAAAGTCAAGCAGACATGCAGGGTTCAGAACAATACTATGTTATACTGCCCATTGATACACTGTTAATGATTTTATATCTGGGTAATTATAAAATATAATAAAACCCACACAGATATACTAGAAACAGTAATACATTTTGACATATATATAAATTCTCAATTTAATTGCATAAGACATAGCAGTATTCTTGGTGGAACTGCTCTGGGTGTATGTACACACTAACTAGCAACCATATGTAAGTACTATTAAAGACACAGTGGGTCAGAGACTTCTGTGGTTTTGGTTATCAATGAGCAATACGCAATTGTTTGTGCTTAGCTTATTAGAGCAAGGATACATATATCAGAATTTCTGATAAATGGTTTCAGTTGCGTTTTCATAATGACTGAGGGAAAAAAAACATTTTTTGGGTTATTTATTGAGATGAGAATTTTCAGGAATTCAAAGTTAATTTCAAATTTTTGACCAAAATAGCAAAACTAGCAACTGACACTGAGAATTTTCTATATTATACGACCACATACAACAAAACATAGGGCAGGTTACGGCAGTACCCAAACAGAAAAATCCAGAGACCAATCACTGTGAAGCCAGCTCCCAACACAATGTTGCTCATGCAGTGGTAATAACACAATGAAATACAGAAAAACGAGGAGAGCGATATCAGATGCAAACGTTTCACAGAAATTAGGTATTAAAAGACGAAACAAGAATAAAGATATTCCCCTTTATCAATACATAATGACCTTAGTTTAAAAAAAAAAAAAACTTCTTTCACAGAAAGTAACTTTGAAAAGTAGCATTTTTCCCCCCCAATTTCTCACCTCACTCAACCCTTCTAATGTGATAATTATCAGTGTAGATTAAGTTATTCTATCTGTTATTAGACCGCAACCTAAATTATGAAGCAATAACTAAGTCAACACAGAAATGTAATTGATATTTAACATTTACAGATGTTGGAATGAAAACAGAGAAGCTATTATTTCTAAAGATTAAGTAGAAATAATAGAAAAGAGCAAGTCTAGAATCCCACAAAACAAAGCTTCAAAGAAGGGGATAACCCTGAATATAGCACAAACAGAAAAGAGGAAACCCTTGAAACAAGGAGGTCCTTAGGTGAAGCTCTGATAAAACAGAGATATCCCTATCTAGATAAACTCTACAAATGGGGGTATGAACAGTATCCAGGTACTAGAAATAGAGGGGGGAGGTAGGGATAGGGTATATGCACGAGTAAGGGGTAGGTGGAGGTAATAATGGTATAAACCACATATATAGAGAGTAACTCCACACCAAACCTCTAAAAAGACACAGAAATTACCCCAAGCCAACAACAGTTCCCCCCAGGAGAAGGTAGGCAAAATAGGTAAGAAAAATACCAAGAAATACTGCGGACCGGAGCGGAGCTCGGCCACGCTACATTAGAGAGAGGTAGGAGGACCACCTGGGGAGGGAGGGGGGGAGAGAGAGGGAAGGAGAGACCACCTGGGGGGAGGAGGGAGGGAGAGAGGGGAGGAGAAAGGGGGGGAGAGAGAGGGAAGGAGAGACCACAGGGGGAAGGGGGAGAGAGAGGGAAGGAGAGACCACCTAGGGAGGGGTGTAGAGAGAGGAGAGACCACCTGGGGAGGGGGATAGAGAGAGGAGAGACCACATGGGGAGGGGGTGGAGAGGAGAGACCACCAGGGGAGGGGAGGGAGAAGAGAGAGCACCAGGAGAGGGGGGGAGGAGAAACCACTAGGGCTAGGAGTGCCACCCCCCCATTCCAACAATGCATCCCTTACACACACACTGCATCCCTTACACAC